AACCGTGTTGCACGTTCGGATTGGACTTCTTGACCAGCGTGGTTATAGTTTAACCGAGACCGGTAAGTTTTACTGGGCAGGCTGAGGTCGGTAAAATTAACCATTCGGCTTGGTTAATTTAACCCTGAGGGAATTGTAACCGACGTTCGGATTGGATTTTTTTTGGTCAATTTAGCCAGTGACTCGGTTAATTTGACCAAATTAAGTCTAGTGCGATAGGGGCTTAACTTACCCATTTCTTTATTCTTTTCACTTGCAGCATTGTCAACACGCAGTTGGCGTCCATTTAACTCATAGCCGTTTAAGTTTCTCATAGCACTAAGTGCTGTTTCTTGGTCTTGGTACTCGCAGAACCCATAGCCTTTAGGTTTGCCAGTTTCCCTGTCAAACACCAAGCGAAAGCTCAAGACCGGTCCAACTTCTGAGAAAATATCCTTCAATTTATCTTCTGTAGCCTCATATGGAATATTACCAACTGGAGGGGAAATAAGAATGGAGTTCAGTGACAACAGCAAGATCATTGGAAGAATAATCAATATACATGTCATATGTGGGCAATTCCACATTGGAAGGCCAAAACCACCAAAAATTTAATCCACTTGTATCTAAACTTGGGTTTCATTTTCAGAGCAGAATCATTATGTAGAATTTGGTTCGAAGTGAAATTTTAGTCTTATTAATTCATATTCTTCAAAAACCACCGGTATATTTGAGCATGATTCAGAATAAAAAAATTTAAAAAAAATAGCTAATTTTAAAAATAATCCCCAATTATGCTTAACTCAACCCTTCCTGACTTCAATTATTCTGAATATTTGACTTAATGGTCCCTAGAACCCAAATGTTGAGATAGACTCTGACATGGCATCTTACAATTTTCACAGCAAGTTGGCAAATATTGGGTAATATCACACCGTAATTCCGTTACCAAAAAAGTAATTAATGCTTTTCTGAGAGCAAACCAATGTCCATAAACTCAAGTTAGTTTATATTCTCTTACTAGTCATACCCCTTTACCATTATCACTCAACAGTTTCCTTTAATCTTCGCTAGTTTTTTAGAAAACCTGGTAACGGAATTACATTTGGTAACGGAATTACATTGGGTCATAGGAATAGAGTTAATAGAACTTAATTCACTATTACACAATATACTGCCCATATTCCTCCATAGCATTGATTCAAATTGATACTTATGTCCAATGGAGCCTATTAAAATGACAAGATGGCAGCAAATGACCTTAGCAACGGCCCTAGTAACCGTGAAGATAGTGATAAGTTGAATTTAGTGATGATGTTGATAATTGTGATGATGCAGATGTGATTGATGATGCTGGTGATAGTGGTGAAGTTGAAGGAAGTAAGCAAGCTTATGATGATACAAGTATTATGTTAGGCCTACAGTCAAAAGTGATAATAAATTGCCTACAGTAGATCCGACATGAAGTAGGTGGTTGCTAAGTATTTTTGCCAGAAGAATGCCAACAAATTTGTTGGTCAGGTTCTTGAGAGTCACAATGACAAGTTCACCCTAAAGTTTGTTAAAATAACTAATTTTGTTAATTTGTGTGGCCAATTGACGACATTCATAGATATAGTGGATAGATCTTGCATAGTACCGAGCTACAGTATGTGAACCACAGATGGACAGGCATTCTAGAATAGCTTTTTGGATTATTTTGGGTATAGTAGGTTGCGAGTGCAACAGATAATCGGACATGTAATTCCGTTGCCGTGTCATGTAATTCCGTTACCAAACAAAACCAATCAAATACAAATAAAACATAAATATATGAGTAGCAAACTTTCATTAACAATTTAGCCACACCTTATGTCCAGACTGTGATACCAGTCACTATTAATGTTAATTGGTTATAATATTCAGACGGAATCTTATGTTCCGTGATCAAAATTAAAATTGCAAATTTCTGTGTAGTTCTGTTACCAAATTTAGAACTGGTCAAAAAATCAAAATATTGAACTAGTTATCAAGTACCAATGTTTGATATTGGTAGGTGTATGTATAACTTACATCTATAACAGTTACTATCCAACGCACGCCCCTAATTTTCTGGGTTTGTCAAAATAAGTCAAAAAATGTTGTGATTTGTAATTCCGTAACTGTGGAATTGCCCATTTAATTATCAATGTAAAGTGGACACAATTAAACAACACTCATGCCATACTTAAATTACTGTAAGGTTTTTCAACTGTGTGGATGATACCTCAAAAACTAGTTCAAATTTGTAAGGAAAATAGCTAGGGAAAATATGGTGGACAGATTCTTAATTACTGCATAATATAGGCCTATTGGTTATACATTAAAATTAAAGCCTAATTTTCAGTAAATTCTATGCGGAATTGGCCCTTACTTTCCGTAATGCGAAAACAGATTTCTAGGAATAGCTGATTTTTGCGCAGACGATATATTCCCTACAGCGTACACAGGTCTTCCTTTAAATACTGTCTAAGACTAAGAAACTCCTCCAAAAATCCCCCCAAAAATCAGGGCTGAATTGAATGTCAGCAAATTTATAAAAAAAATGTACATGAGCATGACATGGCCTTACTTATTACAGCTGCACCTATATAGTATATTACCTTACAGTATCACTCTAGCCAATAAATTAATAAATACAGCTAGGCTAGGCCTACCTCTATAGGCTAAAGTCTAAGCATGCTTTCAGCGTTCCATTGTGGCCACTGCAGCCTCTGAACTGATGGTGGACTGCAAAAATGGTGGTACGGGTTGGCCTAGCTAGCCTAGCCTAGTCCCCCTATGCCGGTATTTCACAAGCTGAGCTGGCATTTCATGTAAACCAAATAATCATATTTACCAAACACTGATCGCATTGATCTGTCTGCAGCCATATTTAAAAAGAATAAACAAATCAGTTTAATAATAACTCAAGTAATTGCACAATGACTTTGACTTCAAATGTTTTGGGGCGCGCAGCAAAACATGCCAGCATTCATGCAGCCGTAATACGCCACCAACGCCTGATTCTACTATTCGCAAAGATCTTATAAACACAAGATAGCGTTCTCCGCGATTTACGCGTGCAAATTCTGTAATAAGGCATGAATTGCGCCCTCTTGCTAAATTGGAAACTTTTGACCCTTGACCGCTATCCTGTGAACAGCAGAACAGGAACCATCTCAGATCCATGGCAAGAGATAGGACGCCCTCTTCCAAAACCGATTACTTTTTCTCTTTGGTATAATAGCGCATGAATGACGCCCTCTTGCTAAATTGGAAACTTTTGAACCTTGACCGACGCTTCTATTTGTTACGAGTAAATCGCGGAGAACGCTATCTTGTGTTTATAAGATCTTTGCTATTCGCCATAAACACAAGATAGCGTTCTCCGCGATTTACGCGTGCAAATTCTGTAATAAGGCATGAATGGCGCCCTCTTGCTAAATTGGAAACTTTTGACCCTTGACCGTTCTGACTATGCCGTACGCGATTTTTTTTTCCGTACGGAACATTTACATGAAACTCCACTCGGGCCCGTTTCGACTGAATCGACCCGAAAATCTCATACAAGTATTGCAGAATTCAGGAGGTCAAAGGGTCATCAACAAGATAAACGGCTACAAAACGACTTCTGAGAGAACGTCGCTGTCTAATTTTTAAAAATACATTGATTTTGCCGTGCTCAGAATATTAATGGATCGTTTAAAATGACATATAATATTTGATTGAGCTGTGCACGAGTAATGAAAGGTGTTATTTTAACTTGAGTTACATACTGTGACAATTTTTATTTAGGTCTGGGTTTTGCATACCTAGGCATACTAACTACTAAAAATATACGCTTTCTGGGGAAAGCACAGAGAGTAAGGA